GTCAACAGCCAAGAACCACCCAACAATACAAACGACCCGCACCTCTGCAACGAAATGGTCAAAGCAGGACACAGGGGAGCACCATCACTGACCTCCGGGCCGTAGGCTTCCAAGTGTGTCTGCTCGTTCCTCAGGTTGTCATTCCTCCACTCTGCAGATCCAACACCAGTCCCTGTTCCAGCACCAGACCCAGCACTAGTCCCAACACCAGAACGTGGAAGAGGTGCGGAGGAGGGACCAAACATCCGACCTTCAGCCGGAGCGAGCAGGCTACAAGAGAGTACCACCATTGACCTCCGGGTCTAGGGCTTGTGTGTCTGCCCACTCCTCAGGTTGTCCTTCCTCCCCTCTGCAGATCCAGCACTAGTCCCAGCACCAGCACAGAGGAGGGACCTAACATCAGACCTTCTCACGGAGTGAGCAGGCCACAGGGGAGTGCCACCACTGACCACCGGGTCTAGGTCTTCCTTGTGTGTCTGCTTGCTCCTCAGGTTGTCCTTCCGCCCCTCTACAGACCCAGATCCCGACCCGTCACCTGCACCAGTTCCTGGTTCATGGTTCCCGGTTCCACCCAGCCACTGCCAGCCCAACCAGCCACTGCCAGTTGATTTTATTCAAACATAGGGTGTGTCTATATATGGAAAAACACACGTTTTAAAATTTCAACCAATCCACTCTTGGTCAACCAATAATTGTTTTCATCGGGGGACAGTCCTAGTTGACTTATTGATGTAATTGCTTATTATTTATTGAACTGTTGATTTACTGAATGATTGATTATCTTTTAACATGAAAAACCAAATAAAATTACCTTAAACCTTAAATGGTTGTGCATTTTGGCATGTCCTTTTGCCCTGTAGTAGTTGCCAGTTTGGAAGCCTTTGTTAAGGCCTCTAGAAGTGCAAGTGATATAAAACACCAGATATTCATTAATATGCTGTAATGTGTAAACACTTTACCTAGCAGCCAACCTACTTGCACCAATCCCTTGTAATTACAGTAAAATATTGTGAAATACAAACCCCTCCCCTCAATGAATTTCATTCATCCATTCATTCATTAATTTGTCCAATTTATTTTCTTACAATATAATACAGTACATTTTACGGTATTGTACTGTGTGCGTCATTACACAGTACTTGCTTTGATACCGTATTTATATTACATTAGGTGTACTGAAATATTAAATAGAGAATTTTACTTGCCACCAAGCTGCCTGAAAATTACTGTCAAATTCATGGTAACCCCTTTACAGTACAAAGAGGTCCAGATATATCTACAGAAATGCATCATGGGGAGTTGAAAGCAGAGCTACTGTGAGAGGAGGCCGTATTAGAAGCTAGATCCATAGATACTGCAGGGGAAATGACTGTAATATTATGTACTATTAGTATTATGATACTTCTAATAGTAGTATTATGATACTTTTATCTATATTAAGATTTGTTCAGATATTACTTGCATTGTCAAGGTACACAGTATGAAGCTAAAGCCAAATTGAGTGTTATCTGGGATCAGGCATCATTAAAAAGCCTTATTAAGTGTACAGTAATACAATACCATACAATCTGAGCACAGTCAATTTAACAGGAGGGGTCTGGCGGCTCAACCACACATTATAGACAGGAGAGAGAGAGAGAGAGAGAGAGAGAGAGAGAGAGAGAGAGAGAGAGAGAGAGAGAGAGAGAGAGAGAGCACCCCCCTGTCAGCCACCCTGATAGCCCTCCTGACAACCCCTCCACACCCACTGAGGACATACACAAGCCACAGATTGTACTCCTTATGGACTCAAACGGGAAATACATACAAGAAAATAAAATTTTCCCAACACACAGTGTCTAAACTCTGGTGTCCAAACACCCAGCGCACCCTAGACCTTCTGTCTGAGGACCAACTAGGATCACCCAGCCACATAATAATACACACAGGCACAAACAACCTGAGAACACAGCAGGAAAGGGTGGCCACAGCACTCAAGGTAGTGATAGAAAAAGCTTATTCTACTTTCTCCAACGTACAAGTGGTTATCTCAACCCTGCTACCACGAAAATACTTCCACCCTGCTACCATACAGCAGGTAAATGCAAGTATTCCCGTGACTGTGCCTCAAAACCAAATGTTTACCTGGTCCCACCACTCCACCCTGGACGTGAACAGCCTTTATGACCAGGTCCACCTATACAAGGCAGCATTGCCCACCTTCGCCCAGACCCTAAAGGATATCACCCTCAACCGCAGACCCAACACCTCACACAGGAGCAACAGATCAACAGACACCCCGCCCAGACCTGCGAGACACTCTCCCAGACCTGCGGGACCCCCCCCCTCCCCGGACCTACACATAGAGGACTCCCGCCAAGAGGACCTACATCCAGACCACAGCACCACCAGCCACATCAACACCCCCACCCCAACCAATTAACACCTCCCCAAGTCAACCATGCCCACACCCCATTTAGGCCCCCTCAAATCAGACCTATGCCCATTGCTCTTTATGGTTGTGAGGTTTGGGGTCCGCACACCAACCAATAATTCACAAAATGGGACAAACACCAAATTGAAACTCTGCATGCAGAATTCTGCAAAAATATCCTCAGTGTACAACGAAAAACACCAAATAATCCATGCAGAGCAGAATTAGGCCGATACCCGCTAATGATCAAAATCCAGAAAAGAGCCATTAAATTCTAACACTTAAAGTCTTATAGTCTTACCACTTAAAAGGAAGCGATTCCCAAACCTTCCATAACAAAGCCATCACCTACAGAGAGATGAACTTGGAGAAGAGTCCGCTAAGCAAGCTGGTCCTAGGGCTCTGTTCACAAACACAAACAGACCCCACAGAGCCCCAGGACAACAACACAATTAGACCCAACCAAATCATAAGAAAACAAAAAGAGAATTACTTGACACATTGGAAAGAATTAACAAAAAAACTGAGCAAACTCGAATGCTATTTGGCCCTAAACAGAGAGTACACAGTGGCAGAATACCTGACCACTGTGACTGACCCAAACTTAAGGAAGCTTTGACTATGTACAGACTCAGTGAGCATAGCCTTGCTATTGAGAAAGGCCGCCGTAGGCAGACCTGGCTCTCAAGAGAAGACCAGCTATGTGCACACTGCCCACAAAATGAGGTGGAAACTGAGCTGCACTTCCTAACCTCCTGCCAAATGTGTGACCATATTAGAGACACATATTTCCCTCAGATTACACAGATCCCCAAAGAATTCAAAAACAATAATTGTTTTGGAACTTCTGAGTGTAAATTGAAATTGAAATTGAATTGAGAGAGAGAGAGAGAGAGAGAGAGAGAGAGAGAGAGAGAGAGAAAGAAAGAAAGAAAGAAAGAAAGAAAGAAAGAAAGAAAGAAAGAAAGAAAGAAAGAAAGAAAGAAAGAAAGAAAGAAAGAAAGAAAGAAAGAAAGAAAGAAAGAAAGAAAGAAAGAAAGAAAGAAAGAAGAGAACTGCTTCAGTAAGGAGAGAAGGGCAGGGTGCACAGGAAGAGAGATGTGGAGAGATAAGCATACCTACATGCCACACAGTGATGCAGATAAAACAGATAGAGAGGAGGGAGAGTTAGTATCAGAGAGGAGTGGAGAGGTAGAGCAGCGAAGGAGTAGAGAGATAGGAGTGAGAGTCAGTATCAGAGTGGAGTGGAGGGGCAGCAAAGGAGTGGAGAGATATGAGTGAGAGTTAGTATCAGAGTGGAGTGGAGAGGTAGAGCAGTGAAGGAGTGGAGAGATAGGAGTGAGAGTCAGTATCAGAGTGGAGTGGAGGGGCAGCAAAGGAGTGGAAAGATAGAGGTAGAGCAGTGAAGGAGTAGAGAGTTATAAGCAAAGGAGCGAAGCAATAGAGCAGGGAAGGAGTTGAGAGATACACTCTTAGAAAAAGGGTTCCAAAAGGGTTCTTCAGGTGTCCCCATAGAAGAACCCATTTTGGTTCCAGGTAGAACCCTTTTTGGTTCAAGGAGAACCCTTTTGCGTTCCATGTATAACCCTCTGTGGAAAGGGTTCTACCTGGAACCAAAACTAGTTCCTTCAAAGCCGAAGAACCCTTTTAGGTTCTAGATTTTAGTTTTTTAGTTTTTTTTTCTAAGAGTGTAGAACAGTGAAGGAGTGGAAAGGTAGAGAGGAGTGAGAGTCAGTTTCAGAGTGGAGGGGATAGGGCGAGCAGCGTGGTAGTGGAGAGGTAGATCAGTGATCAGTGTGGGTCAGTAATAGCCCTGTGGTTAGTGGTGATGAGAGGCCTGTCCTCCTGTAACAGGATCCCCCCCGCCCCTCACTGTACCGGACTGTACCCCATTGTCTTCTAATGAGACACCCTGGCACCCACTTACACACACAGAGAGAGAGAGACAGAGAGAGAGAGAGAGAGAGAGAGAGAGAGAGAGAGAGAGAGAGAGAGAGAGAGAGAGAGAGAGAGACAAACAGAGAGACAAACAGAGAGAGAGAGAGAGAGAGAGAGAGAGAGAGAGAGAGAGAGAGAGACCCATCTCCCGGTGCAAACCCACAAAATACACACACATGTAAGTATACACGCATGAACATACAGTACGCATGCACACACATCCAGAATGCATGCACACACACACAGACACACACACACAAACATGCTCCCCCATCCCTCTACTGCCATGTCCCCTCTCTCCATCACAACACTGACCTCTAACCTCCTAAATTCACCCTTCTCTTTCTCTCCACACAGATTTGTTTCAGTTCCCACACCCCTACTGGCCCTCTCCTCCTGCTGGGGATCAAGACATGTGAGATGTTAACGATAGCAACAACTTCACCTACTTTACACAGACTGCACAGTACTGTAGTTCACTAAACCACAAACCACTGCTACAACAGCACGTTGGGAACAAGTACACTACACAGTACCTGTAACTACACTATACCTGCCTACTATATAACTCCCATGTAAAGACATGGCTTTAGGACACTTTATATAAAAGGGGACCAATAGAACAAGAATATACAACTCCAATTACTCTTCAGGTTTCAGGCAAGGTTACTCATCATACATGCACTAAGAAAACATGACACATACAGTAACTCTAATGGTAGCCCTTTCCTGCAGTCAATGACCAAAAGCGCCCTCTTTGACCTCATGGGTGGAATGTTATTAATATTTTTCATAATTTCATAAATACGGTGCTTCTGTGTCAAACGGTTTTGTTATATTTCAGTCTTCTGTGGTGTATATAAAGTGTAATATTGGGATGCAAACTCAAAATGGAATACATTTAAACTATGTGTCTGACATGGTACCGGTGTCTTCTTTGTTTTAAGCCCATAACCATGTGTGTGAGGTGTAGGCTTTTGTTTCAAAGTAGATTTGTTTAAGACTACCAAGAATCACTCTGTGTGACCCTGATTTAGCCCACTGCAGTAAAAGGTTAAATGTTATTGAGACTCGTACCCTTGACGGCCCATGCTCTGAGTGGGCTGCTGTCGTCTATGATGTGGTAGAAGGTAAGTGGGAGGATGAGGAAGGGGCTGTCGCTGGATGTGTCCACCTGGAAGGGAACGTTCCTCTGGTCCAGTCGCATCGTCTCCCCCTCCTTGGTCTGGGATGTCTGGAGCAACTTCCCTGTTACCTGGGAACGCCAAAATGGAGTCATATTAAATTGTATGGCGGTACATGAGCGAGAATCCTGAAGAAGCTTGACAACATGACAACAACCTATCTACCATAGTGATCCATTTTTTCATGAAAGATTTGTTCTGTTTGTGATACACACACTCAATCACTACCACACACACTGTCTCTACCGTGCAGCCCAGTAACAGGCTCTTGCGCATGTTGGCCACTCGGATCATAAGGCAGGGTTGGCCCTCGTGATTGGACACCACGGCGTGCTGGCTGAACTTCACTGTCTCGCCTCTCTTCTTGGGCCGCGCCACCTGGGGAAGATGGGGGAGAGTGTGTCAGAGCCACACAATGTAGCATGGTGAACTACACTACCCACAATGCTATCTGAAAACATATCCTGTTTATTTGTTAGGCTGTTAACAACCTGCCGTCCGTCTCCTTATCAATACATACATGGCATGCACTTCCTATCATCTTAACCTCAAGCCCCAACACACACACACGGACACACATAGATAACTGAGTGAAAAATAAAGAAGGGGCTTATAACCCTTATGATAGAGTGGCCAGAATGATAAGAGGGGAGAGGAGAGGGGGCGGCAGGTAGCTTAGTGGTTAAGAGCGTTGTGCCAATAACCGAAAGGTCGCTGGTTCTAATCCCCGAGCCGACTAGGTGAACAATCTGTCGATGTGCCCTTGAGCAAGGCACTTAAACCTAATTGCTCCGGTAAGTCGCTCTGGATAAGAGCGTCTGCTAAATGACTAAAATGTAAAATGAGAGGAGGAGGATAATAAACACTGTTGTTAACCCAGGAGTCCAGTGCTGAGTGGGGCCAGGGCAGATAGTTGTACTGTTGTGTGTTGGACATATGGATGCAGTGCATATTGTGGCCAGACTATATTATCGAACATTGGTCATGTGTGTAGATTCAAAGTTTACATTTTTCATAGTATTGTACACTAAGTGTACAAAATATTAGGAACCCTAATATTGGGTTGCACCCCCTTTTGCCCTCAGAACAGCCTCAATTCGTCGGGGCATGGACTACAAGGTGTCGAATGCTGGCCCATGTTGACTCCAATACAGTTGTGTCAAGTTGGCTAGATATCCTTTGGGTGGTGGACCATTGTTGATACACACAGGAAATTGTTGAGCGTTAAAAACCCAGCAGGGTTGCAGTTCTTGACACATTCAAACTGGTGAACCTGGCATCTACTACCATACCCCGTTCAAAGGCACTTTATATATTTGTTCTTGCCCATTCACCATCTGAATGGCACACATACACCATGTCTCAATTGTCTCTTAAAAATCCATCTACACTGATTGAAGTGGATTTAACAGGTGACATCAATAAGGGATCATAGCTTTCACCTGGATTCACCTGGTCAGTCTATGTCATGGAAAGAACAGGTGTTCCTAATGTTTTGTACACTCAGTGTATATCAACAGTGTAGTGTGGTGCTTTTTAATGAATGTGATGGTAATAATAACTATGATATTAATCTGCCCAGGGCAGGGTGAGGTACCTTGGCGAGGAAGGTTCCTGTGATGAAGATCTCCAGCACCATGGTGATGACAAGCTGGAGGATGAGGAGGATGATGGCGGCGGGACATTCCTCTGTGATGCAACGGAAGCCGTAGCCAATGGTGGTCTGGGACTCCAGCGAGAAGAGGAACGCCCCCGTTAGGGTCTGCACCTGCATCACACACGGGGTGTGGTTGGACGGCGGGTCAAACTCTGGAGGGAGGGAGAGCGGAGATACAGAGAGAGAGGCAAGTTTCTGACCGGATTGTTTGATATACAAGGGGGTTGAAGACCAATGAGAAAGGGCTAAACTAAGGTACATTCTTACACATCTCTCATTCTCCCTCTTCTTGACTTACATTCTGTCAGTCTCTTTCTCTCTCCACCCTCTGCTCCCCCTCTCCCCTCCCTCCATCCTCACCTAGCAGGTCTCCATGCACCAGCGCCACCAGGTACCACAGAACCCCGAACAGGAACCAGGTCCCGGCGAAGGTGGCTGAGAACAGGAAGAGCTTGTAGCGCCACTGCATGTCCAGGAAGGTCGTCCAGATGTCACGCAGGTACAGTGCCCCGCGCCCTCTCACGTGCTCGATGCGCACGTTGCTGTGCCCGTCCTTGGAGAGAACACGCCGTCTCCGTCGGAGCGCACAGACCGTTGTAGCTTCCTCCCCTGCCGCCACCGCAACCCCCACCGCCCCCAGCAGCGGCTTCAAAGCCTCTGTCTGCATCATGGAGTGACACACCTTCTCGGGGGAGGAGCCACGCGAGGAAGGGGGAGTGGCCGAGGTCATAGCTGTAGCTTTATGGGGGGAAGAGGGAAAGGATTGAGGGAAGAGATAAAGTTGATGAAAAACAAGTTTGTGAGAAAGGAGAGAATAGGAAGGAAATAGAGGAGAAAGGTTGATAAGGGGATAAATGAAAGAGATGACAGGAGTGGAACATTTGGGGTGAGGGAGGAGGAGAGGAAGACATGGAGAAAGAGAGGGAGATTATACATGTGACACACAAGAAAAAAAATGAAAGTGGACAGAGGCAGGCCTGTGGCTGTCCAAGGTGGTCCATTTAAAGCTCTCTCTTACTAGTTCTCATCATCCTTCTCTTTCAGCAGCAGCTCCCCTTTCAAAGTAAAATCAGCGGGAAGTTGCAGCTGTCTTTTCACATTAAAAAACCCTCTATAATGCTAAGGGCCTCCTGTGTCTACAGCTCACCAGGCTGGCTGGATCGAGAGAAACAGAAACAAGGCGTACTTATTCCCCATCCAAAAACTGGAACAGAAAAGCAGCATGTAGGATCTATGAATGAGAGATGCTGGATCAACCATTTATAAATGCGCTTTAATCCCTGACATCATCTACATCTCTTTCATCATCCCTTCATCCCTAACGATTACAATTATCATTTTGAATCGTCTTACTGCTTTACACTTTTAGTGGTTGGCCTTTAGTGTTTGTGGACTTTCATAAGACCTCAAACTATTACCCTAACATGATCCAATAATAGTTAATGACTTTGATGATTAGACCCACACTACCCAAGTAGACTACTACAATGTGCAGCTCAAATGGGACATTCATTAGGTCCTTATACAGCTGTCACTTATTGAGCTTGTTTTCACCTCCCAATAAATGTGTTTCTGTGTCAGATAATTCATTAGTGGTGTGGATTGTGGAGGCAGGATAGCCAGAGAATAGAGCTTGTGTGTTATCAGGGCTAGTAAGAGGCATGTTTTTCTCCTTGTGGATATGGATACTTGTTGTTTGTGTGTGACTTTGGCCCGAGCATCCTTCTGTATCCTCTCTCTCTCTATCCTTCTTTCTTTCTTTCGCTCTCACACTCTCGCTCTCTTTCTTGGCTAAATGGTCCTTTTGTCTCTTCCTGCCTCTGCTTTCAAAATAACCAACCATAACAAAGCCAGAGAATTAGGCAGTCTGATACACACTCTCCTTTCTGACCTTTCTCTCTATGTGTCCCCACTCGCTTACTCTATTCCTCCCTCCTCCCTCCCTCCCTTCCTCACTCTCTGGTGCTGGAGCTCACACTGTGAGCATGAATAGGGATCTGTGTACATTTCTGTGCTCAGAATACTAAGATGGGGGGGTGAGGAGGCGGGGCTTTGGACATGCACTTGTGATAGGCTAAGTGCATTCACAGCTGACCCCTGAACCTTACTGAGGCCCCTTCCACACATACAGTAAACACACACTCACATATACGGTGGCATACACAACACGGCCGTCTCAATAGGCTATATCAATGTTAACTTTTCCCGAAACAATGTTTGCGGCACTTTATCTTTCACGTAGGCCAAACTGTTACAATTACTTCCGCTCACTTCAGTATTCCTTTTCACACTTCTGTGTCTTCCACTCGACTATAATCTCTCTTCCTCCCTTTCTCACTCTCTCCATCCCCCTCTCACTCTCTCCATCTCCCTCTCACAATGTCCTGTGTGCACAAGAATCCTTTGTTTAGAGAGTAGATGAAAGAGACAAAAGCCACTATTGAAAAATACGACTGAGTGAGAGAGAGGGAGAAAGTGTGTGTGTGTGTGTGACTGTGTGATCATATGTGAGTATATGTTTAAGAGTGTGAGGGGGGCAGTGAAAGGGAAAGAGAGGATTGAGAGAGAGAGAGAGAGAGAGAGAGAGAGAGAGAGGAGCCGATATAGAGAGCTAGGAGAGATAGAGAGAGGAGAGAGAGAGAGAGATATAGCGAAAGAGAGAGACCAGATCGAAAGAGAGATAGCGAGAGAGAAAAATCCCAAGGAGAGAGAGCTAAAGAAGATAGAAAGAGATTAGAGAGAGAGAGAGACGTGGAAGGTGTATTAAAACAGATTGGTGACAAAAGATGCTCATTAGTATTCCTGAGCGTTGCACTTCACCACACGCCTTCCTTCCCCCGCGTGTCCACCCTACCAAAATCCCCAAACAACCTCTACACAACACTCCAACGGCCTCCGAGCAACCCATGCAAACACTACAAACAACAGCCCCGCAAAACTGAAAGGACTGTGCAAACAGAACAAGAACTTCTCAACAAAAATAAAACAACCTTGATGTACTCGGCCAGGTCGTTTAGTGCAGCCCTATGCACCAGCCGGTTTGACGAGGATACGTTTGAGAGTCTTATGTACCCTAACACACTTGTACGATCTTCAAGAGGGTGTTGGTTGGGGGGGAGTTGTAGAAATAACTTTTTCCCCCCCCATGCTGCTGATGACAATTTTTGTCCGTTCATACAGGAGTAATAAAGGCCCGGTGCACTAATGTTGTGAAAAATAAAGCCGTTTTTATTCTGATTTATCAGCACCCCTACTTCCCGCTGCTATGTACATGAACAGTATAAGGTGTAAAAATCCCCACACGGCCTCTCCAAACACAGAAACAAGTAATGCATACAAACTCCAAAACAACTTCTTAACCAAACTATTTGTGATTCAAGTACTCAAACTACCCTTAACTAATATCTCCAAGTAAACCTTACAGTATGTTTTCCACACTGTACCCTTGCCAGTCTACAGAGCAATCACAGACGGTGAAAACAAAGCATCGCTAGTTACTGAATCTAATGCATTTAATGCAAAATTACACACAACTTTCACTATCTTTAGTGTCAGTTTTACACATTGTAGACTTGACTTGTAAACTGCAGCCATTGAGTGAGTGGTCTGGAATGTCCAATTTAAACATTGTGCCAGGGACATGTTATAGTTATAGTGCCACGGTTGTCGCCAGAGGTAATTTGTCGGCAACCTCTCAGTATCCATGGTGATCTTCCTCAATGTGTCCTGGGTCAGGTTGTCTTCCTACAGGTGTGACTTAGAACACTCATCATCGCTAATACAGTATCTACAGTATAATATATTATCTACACTAAAAGACAGTATCTAATACTGTTCTCTTACCCTTTAAACATGAGGATGTAGTAATGCTGCTACTGTACTTAACAGAAGCTCCAGAAACAGCTGGGACAGCAAAGTGAAGATTGATTCCTTAACAGATTCAACCAAGTCGCCAGAAATGATTAATAAATACCTGTAGGATCCATTCAGATCAAATACTGTTACTAAATACATAGTTTTATTGGCTAACTGTGTAGTCAATGCTGTAAAGGTGACTAGAAAACTTCCTGACAGAATTCTGTCTACCTATTATTTATTAAGGGGTGATGGAGAGTGATTCCAGCATCCAAATGGTCATTTTAGATGCATGCAGGTGTTCACAAACTACACCTCCTCTTAGAAATGCCACACACACAGTGGGCTACTGTAAAAACACTCGCCTGTAGCCTACTTAGTACAGATGTGGGATCTTAATTTGATCACTCTTTTGTTGCTGAGAATTTTCCTGCATAGCAGGAAATGCAAACTTGTAGTGTACTCAAGGTTTAAAAATGCTTCTAAAGTTTTTAATTTCCACATAAAAATGTCAGACTTGATTTGCCCTAACTGAAAATGTATCAACCCCTACAAAAAATGTCCATTAATTGTAATCCACATAATAATTCACATTTCCTGTGGCTGCAGGATTATTTTCCTGCTGTAACAAACTGGCTCAAATTAAGATCCTACATCTGAAGCACTGATATGATCATCCTGTTCTCTCTGTGTGGATGCACCTGTGCTCTCTCTGCTTAGGTTCTCTTTGCAATACCAAGCCAGAGTAGCATTCAAATTGTTTATTTCTTTATACTATGGTTATTTCTCATGAAGAGGGTGGAACATGCATAACCCCCCCCCAAAAAATACTTAATAACTCTTCATCAAATGTGTGCTGACCTTTTTATATAGGCCATATATTTAACTATCCCTGCTGTCGCTCATGTGAGAAGTCACCACATACTGTTGCTCTGTCGCTATCCTAACAACTTGGAGATGCATTAAGTTATGGGAATGATGACCTAGTAGTAAAAAAACGAATTGAATTTAGGCCTATTGATTAATGTGCTTGTCATCACTTACCTTTTGTTGCAATTGTTGAATGCAATTTTGAGACTTGGAAAAAGTTGTTTTTATCGTAGCCGAATGATCAAGTTGACTATTTGTATTTTTGGTTGATCAGTGCGACCTCATGCATTGAAGCAATGCACACTTGTAGACAGTTCTCTCACACGGATATTCACAAGACCCAACTTTCATTGTCTACAGATTTCGATCCTGATTATAGTTCTACATATTTCCATTGTAATTCTAATAGGCCTAACAACATTACAGTTATTACAAAAATGTTCAAATCAACCAAGTTTCAGTAGCTAAGACCGAATTAAGGCTACCAAACACAAATCAATGGTTGCTCTGAAACTGAAGTGTCAGTCGGTACCGGTTCCGGTTGAATGTTACAGAGTTATTATGTAATAAAATAGCTTCAATGTCCCCGTTGCATCTAGAGCTGTGATGGTTCTCGGGTTCAGGTAGAAGTTGGAGTGTCTCTCTTCTCTGACATTTTCTCGTCTCTCTTTATAAATGAAAAAGTAGCCTATTCAGTCACTCAACTGGACTCAGGACATTTTAATTCATTAATTCAACTCTCCTCCCAGCTTCTCCTCCCACCCACCCTCTCGCTCTATCTCTCTCTCTCTCCTTCCCTGACTGTACACTGTAAATGGGTCCCTTGTTGAGGGTTCCTCGACTGTTCAGCCTTTGTCAACTTTCTCATGTAAATTTCTGATGGTTAAGATACAAGCCTGGAAGTTATTTCACTATTAGAAAGCATGTAGGTAGTTACAAATCAGAAGGAACAAAAGACACTTTGTTGTGGCCTTGGCTCCTCGCAATTTTGCGTCTGCAAAGTTG